TCTTTTCTTTTATTCCTCTCTCTCTCTCTCACTCATTTCATTTCTATTTTATCACCCTTTCTCTCTCTCTCTTTCTCTCTCTCTTTCTCTCTCTCTCATCTCTCTCATCTCTATGAATCCTAAGTATTACTTATACGCTAATTAGATCTTATCTATCTCAATTTATTTCTTACTACAGGAAATCTGTATAACCAGCAATTGATTTAACCAACATACGCGACTTCATTACCATGAATTAAAAAAAAAAGATATGACGCTAAATTCAACACAGATAACTTCGAGCTAAGAAGGCTTCTTGTATTATAAAGAAATACGTAGCAATGAACTACCTGTACCTCACGCTGCTCGATCGAAGTAGGGAAGGGCAAAGCGCGGATAGAAACAGACTGACGCATAGGTTGATGAGCAAGATGGCGCATGGTCCAGAACCGAAACGTTCTACAAATTAATAACACAGTCTAAGATCTCATATCATTTATTACCTATGCATACCTATCTATCCTTACGACCCTCAATCGAATTACTAAAAAAGTCGGTACATAAAAAATACGTTCAGAGAATAAAAAAAAGGCTAGTTAAGGCAGAAATAAATGTTTTTCTCGCATTGCAAATTAGTGTCGCGAAAAATTACGCCAAGCAGGCATTGGCTCACGCCTATTAACGTATGTAATTTTATTATTTACATCATCGTGTGTAGTATAATTGAAGTTATAGCTACCTCCCAAGGCACCATATGTTACGATAGATTAGAAGACGGGCAGATGTGTCGGAGGATGGACATTCGAGGTCAGATACTAGATCAAGAAGCGAAAGTTCCGCTGCCTGCAAACAAACGCCAAACCGTTCGCTGCCAGTGGGAAATGACAACGTCTGGTGGATCCGATGCTGTGCGTGAGAACACATTAGGGAGGAGAGGTTTATAGATTTCTCAAGGCTATCGGAAATCGTACGCGTATTTTGGGGAGTGCGATGCTCGAGTGGGTAGGAACGGCACAAAGTTTGTGCAGGGTGAGGTCAGCAGCTGGCAATCGTCTGCGTAGAGAGAGAGAGAGAGAGAGGAAGAGAGAGCAGGACTGTAGCTAAATAATCATACCTGGAGGAACAAGCCACGCGCGCTTGCGTTCTGGACAGTTGACCGCGTGGGCAGCTCGTCGTTGCCGCTGCCAAAGCCTGAGAGAGCAAAAGACCCAAAAAGCCCCTCCCGCCAGCTACGGCCATGCATTCATGACTTTGTTGACATTATACGCCAGTAGTTAGTAAATACTCAGAAGTAGTTAGATATGAATTTTTTTTACCCCAATGACGTCATCATTTTGGTAATTCTAAAGCATAAAATATATATCACAGCCCTCCAGGCGGTAGATTATATGGTGTATGCGCGTGTTTAGTATCTGCTAATAAACGTCATATTTTGTTGCAATTATATACTTAAAATTGACAGGGCATAGTCTGTACTAGAGTTCCGTAAAGAATTTTACACACCTTGCCTCCCTATAATAGGAGAGCGCCCAATTTGCTCAACATCTCGATTCCGTACATTTTCAGTGCCGTTGGTCGGCGCTAGTGTCGTACATAGAAAGTAGTATATGATGCGAAACGAAATATATTCAAACCTAATTTTGTTAAAATTACACACACGTAGTGAGCACATAATCAGACGTATAGTTATATACAAAAATTGTTGATCCCGATGACTTACTTATAAGGCGAAAAATTTTTCAAATCTTCTCAAAACTTGCGATAGATTATAGGGTCAGACGTCTCTCTGCGCGTACCTACCATCTGCTATAGGAGATCTGATTATGTACATACTCAAGAATAGGTTTCTTTAAAAGATTTCAGACACATTGCCTGCTTTATATAATAAGAAGAGCCCAATCCTCTCACCATCCACGATTCCCAGCAACGCCGAACAAGATCATGTACATTTTCTGTAGTCGTTGGTCACCGCTGGTGTCACGCAGGAGAATCAGTGTAGGATTCTCAACGAATTATGTTCATAATATATAAAACACTAACCGCAAAATGGTCCCTACGATGCACGTAATAAAATGTTTAACTACACGTAAATGCAGCTACCGACCTACAACATACACGAAAACTACGCGTTATTTCATACCATATAATTAATAAACTAGATATACAATTCATATATTATTGTTTCTTGTGTTTTATAACGACGGTGGATCGGTATAACATCGTATATTAATCGATAATACAATGTGCGTGCCGATTGCATTTGTAGGTCGCTTGTACGGTGATAGCCGTCCTCCTACATTACCTGTATTTGGTCGTGTTCTGTGCTATGCTGGCGTCTGGCGTTCACCTCTACATCATCATCAACAGCATCACGCAGCAGACGATGCGCATAGTCCACTACTTGGTCATAGCATCGTGGGGTGAGTCGTAGCTGCTAGTAAATGATGTCATGATAGACGTACACGCACGTAGTCATGCACGTAAGCGCGCACACATGCACACGCACGCACGCACATAACCTCTACCAACACACGCACATATGTACGCGCACACGCACACACGCGCGCACGCACACACGCAAACACACACACACACACACACACACACACATGCACACGCACGCACGCACATAACCTGTACCCACACACGCACATATGCGCGCGCACACGCACACACGCGCGCACGCACACATGCAAACACACACACACACACACACATGCACGCGCACACGCACGTACGCGCGCACGCACCCACGCACGCACAAGAATCATTTAGAATTTGTGCCCTGTTTTTTTTATTTTGTAGTTACACCTGTTGTCATAGTGACAATCTCGCTCGCGGCTACCCAGTCGGAAGGCTACGGCAGCGCTACCTACTGCTGGCTCTCTATTCACAACATGCTCATCCTGGCGTTTATTATCCCAGTTGGAGTTGTGGTGTGCGTGAGTATCTGCAAATGTTTTCGTGTTAGCGATGTGTGCCGTAATGGACTACCCTCTTTTAGCTAGGCCAAATATGATGGCTTCTTCGATAAAACATGCACCAATGTCTCATTCGCCCTCGTTCAAGCGTTCTCTCTCTCTCTCTCCCCCTCTCTCTTTCTCGCTCTCTCTCTCACTCTCGCGATCTCTCTTAGCCTCTCTCGCTCTTCCGCCATCGTTGCTCACCGTCATTCTTTATCTCTGGCTTCCTCTCTCTCTCTCGCCTTCTCGCTCTCTCTCTCCCTCTCGCCTCCCTCTCGCTCTCCCTTCCTCCTTCCCTCTCGCCTTTCTCTTCCCATGCATCTTGGCTTTCTCACATACACACTCTCAGTCTCTCTTTCTCTATCTTACTTTTTCGAAATAAGAGGACGGACGGATACAATAAGTACTTTCATTAGGCATAACACAAACTAAGCTTAACAGTCATTGTTTATGTAAAAGATTTGACCTCGTTGGCCCACATACGTTTTAAATGTTTTAACTAAATGTTTTAAACGCAGGTCAACGTTTTGCTGCTGGTTCTTGTATTCCGCACTATGTTTCAATCGCGATCCGTGCAAAAGAAATCCAACGTAGAGAAAGCTGGGTAAGTTAACTTTAGATATTATCCGGGATTTTTTCTGATACTAAACGCGTCATCGTCTTTTTGACTGGGATTCGATTGTCTCAGTAAAGATTTAGATTATGCGTAGTTCGGGATTTGAGGCAAGACGACTTGATTTCGCATCACTTAGATCTTGCTAGACTCATTCAGACACTAGAAAACAAAATACCGCGACAATAACTGTGACAGCGATAAGGTTGGATCACCACCGTGTTGTTACTCTTGATAGCGTGGGCCTGTGAACGTCGACGTGCTCTCTCTGCTTACATCGTTGTGTGCTGCTTATGTTGGCTTGCTGCCTTACAGGACAGCGTTACGCAGCCTGTGTGTGCTGATTCCTCTCCTCGGACTGACATGGACTTTCGGATTTTTTGCAATCTACGATACAACTCTCGTGTTTCAATATTTATTTGCAATTTTCGGCTCTGTGCAGGTACGCAACTGATACGGTCCGTGTTATCTTAGTATGTTTCCGCTTTGCAGGACAGCCACGATAGGCTATTTAGTTGTCATTTTGAATTAGCTCAACATGGGACGCAATAGTAAAAGCGAATACATCGAGAGCATTGCAATTACCAGTATAATTATATACCGCTGACGCAAATTCACCGATTCGGGTTTTCATGCAGGGAGTGTTCATATTTGTGTTCCACTGCGTATTGAACAAGCAAGTCCGCGAGGCTATATCGCAGAGGTGGCGCCAATACCGGACGGTGGCGAGATTTCGACGCGGAACCGATGTACAGCGTACTGGCGTTACGAATCTACGTGGTTCTGAACCCTCAAACGCCGTATGTGTTCTATCCGTAGCGTAGAAATGAGACCGACTACGGCGTGAAATCGCTTTAGTCTCAATTTGAAATTGACAGGGAGAAAGCCACGGTTTTATATTATAAAACACATAATGGAAATTAAATTCAAACGCACGATAGAGTATTCTTTAAAGCATCATTTTATATGTAAACGCAATACTTTCCAACTACGAAATATGTTCGAACACGCATTTCACCTGTTCGATCGTTCCAACGAGTTATGTTGCTATGTTGTGTGAGCGGGCTTTTTACGCGTTTATTTCAGCGCCTGGATTTCAGAAAAACCGTATTGTTGTTATTATTTGACTATTTCAGAGATTTAAGACATCAAATGCGCTTTCGTCCGAATCCGCTGAAACCGGTACGAGTCAAATCTATTTGTGATTTTGCCACGAGTTCATTTTCCTAGTCCGAGAAACTCTCTCCACGCGATGTGCAATACCAGCTCGTTAAATGCCACGCATGAAAACAACCCACCATTTAGCGAAACGTTGAATATTACCTCATGCCCAAATTTGAGTTTTCACCAATCAGATCGCGGCCTGTTACGGCAGGCAGTGCTATTTGACTCGTTCTTTTTCATCGTGTAAAAATAATCACATTCTTCCATCATTCCATCGTACCATCATTTAAGGGTGTAATTATCAACGAGGACAGCGCGGCTTTAGTTAGCATGCTATTTATATATATATTATTTATTTATATTTTTATATTTTTGTTGTTGTTGTTGCTGTTAGTATGTTATTTATGTTAGTTAGCAGTTGTTCCTTTACTATGTTACACCACGCAGACTCCCGCTTCGCTACCACTATGACGGACGCCTCCGCGTCGGAAAACCTACCACCAGTCAAGAAACCGATCGTCGGGAAAGTAGTGAAAGTCGAGTCACCGTTTGCCGTCTCTTACGTGCTTGTCGAGCAGGGTACGCCATATACCACCAGTAGTCTTCCCTCGTTAATCTATTTACGCATTTATTCACACTTATTTTTTAATTATTATGTTTATCGATAAAACAATTTCGCACAACGTAGAAATTCTTGATATTCGTGCGTGGTCTATACAGTCGATACGAACGAGTGTCCGATATACACATAGACATTACATAAGTCATAGATATTACTATATAATTACGTCGCACTGGCTATACACTATATAAACTTAGGAGATAAAATAGAGATATCATTAACTATTCTATATCTTTGAAGTAAACAATACTATGCGAAGAACGTTTTAAATCGCATCGACAATTTGTCACTGAACTAAATAAACCATGCATAACATCTCTGTACTGAGCTGTTACACCTTTCTCAAATTACAGGTTCTACTGCAGGAGACACAAAATCGACGGATGCCAATAGTAAATAGTATGATCGTGGCTGACATTAGGAGGTCAACGAGTATACGCGATGTGACCTTGAGCGCATATGTGTCAGAAGAGTTGCACGGCGGATTATGTATGACCCTTTCGGTCAATATTATATCTATAAAACAGTTTCACACAAGTCATGTAAATCAACAAAATGCGTACGTCAAGGTGAAGAGCCATCGCTGTGTTCAATAATGATATATCCGCGATGCACACATTCGAAATATACGTAATCGATATTTTGAATCGTATTGGTTCGGAAAAATCAAGCGGGGCTACGTGGGCAAATATCGTCGCGAAGTTGATAGTTATATGGTCCTTATAATTATCTTGAACCGATTGAATTCGTGCGGCATAGAGTCAGTGCGACATAGATTTATATGCGTTTTTGAAATACACAGAACTGGTGTATGCCGAACATGTTCACACCAGGTTTACCACTATTGGAATATCCGTTAATGCCGAATAGTTTGGTGTACGTTAACAAAATGTGTATGTCGTATTTGACATAGCCACTTATACAGAACAGTTTGAAACGTTAAGGGTTTAATTCCCCATTGGGCCAATTGAAAACGTATTGCAATCATGTGTCTGTTGCGTCAGCCAATAGGAGACGAGTATTTTGATTAAAGACCCATCTGCGCACGTGCAATCTCGGTTCGACAACCATTCAATTTAAACACCGGTGTAGTTTAATTTATTGTTATTTTAAGTGTTATCAGGCTTTTAACAAGCTATCTTTGTATCTTAACAAGTTTCTACGTACTGTCCACTGTCCTCTATTTTAAATGTCGCAACCGAATTTCACGTATATCATAGAACAAATAACAGCGTTATACCATATTTTACTACATAGAATAGTATATCTGAGATATCCTCTTAAAGAAATCTATTCAGGATAGCGTTGAAAAACGATATATAATATTATCATACATTGTATGCATAAATTCTTATATACATTATATTATTGACTATGAATGTTATACTGTGTAATACTATGTAAACTATAGTATACACGTAAAATATTAAACAGTCAGCATATTATAGATTTTACATTCATAATTTTGTTTTACATGTCTATGTATAGACCTATATAATTATCTCTCTCTATATAATATATATATATATAATAGATTTCATTTTCTGCTAATGATATCTTATTAAAACGTGTCATGTTTTTTCAATACCTTGTAAAATAGGGTCGTAAATCGTAAGAAATCTTTATTTTAATTTCTACTGATTTATAAATATTTATATATATATAACAGGTACCTTTCTAGACGTGAAAAGCTTAGAGCGATTTTGCAAACAAAGCGTAACAACGCTCACTTCAAAATATGCTTGATCACAAAAAATACAAAAAATGCGTGTTTTGAACAATATTTAGCAAAGAGCCTAGTTAGTTCTGTCGTTTCAAGTAGAATCTTTTATTCGTATCGGTTGGCAAGCATAAACTAACTACCACATACACGAAACATTGTAATAATAACCAGAATTTAGAAGTACTACTGCTTGCCTTTCTTTCTACGAGCCTTACCCTATTAATTATAAAGCTGATGGATTCCAGTTATATTTCCTGCCTGGCTAACTAGTGTGTACATGTGAGTAGGTTTTACATCAGAGTACTCACGTTGTGGCACAGTCAATTGAAACACCAGACGAACATCAAAGGTGTTAGCAACGTCAAGTGAGGTCGGTGGTGTTCCGCACTGCGCCACGCGCTTCCCTGGATCCTGGGTGGATATCAGCGTTTACTTATCTCACTGCAGCTTGAGCCGAGTCGTCTGTTGTCGTCGCTGCTTCATCCGGGTTACTCTGTTGTCGCTCTACTCTTGTCGCTTTCACCGACGTATCTTCCGCTTCATTTTCGCTCAACGACGGTTGCGGCAGTCGCGTCTGTCCATTACTGCGCGCCGTGCGTTCTGCCTCCGGCGCAGCATCGCTTCCACTTCCGGCACGAAAACGCGAATCACCGAGAGAGTCCGCCTCGTCGACGTCGGTCGTCGGCACAGGCGACGAGACGCACCCGTCATCGCCGACGTCCTCCCGTCGACGGCTCCGTCCGGCCGCGCGTCGGCGCGGAGGAACTACTTTCTGGCCGCGGACGGGCACAACTCGCACTTGCGGAGCGGGTGGATTACTACCACTGCGGCTCGCCGTCGAGTAGGTGTCGTGCGCCCCCTGGCGGACGATGTCGTAAGCCGACAGGACTGAGACCGTGTATCGCGACTCTTCGTCGTCACTGCTCTCCTCGCGGTTGACGTGGTAGGCGAGCGGGAGCTCTCTATCTCGCTCTCGTACGACCGCTGCTGCGACCTCCCTGGCCTGCGTGGCGCGTGGGGAAACAGACCGAGTTCGGATCATCGTTGTAGAGTCTCCTGCTAGCGTCACTCCACGCCACCCCGCCTCTTCTGCGCATGCGGCTATCTCAGAAGCTTCTTCATGAGTAGAGACGCGTGGACGCGCGTGCGCACGCGCACTGTCGCCTTCATCGGCAAACGCAGCGACGTCTGGATGTGAGTGATTAACGGAAATGAAGGCGGGGTTGGTATAGTCGACCATCCTTGCATCGCGCGTCGCGAGTGAGGCCGGAGAGAGGGTTGACCACTGCAGACCCATGGCATTGGCATACGACGGAGGCGACGAGCGCTGCGATATCGCGTCGCTGTCATCGGCCAGTGCGTCCGTGAGGTCGCCGCCACCAGAGTCTCCTGTTGAAGGCGTAAACACGCGATGTTAATCATCGTCAACAATGCTACCACCGCCTCCACCGCTGTTACATTGCAAAGCGTCATCGCCAACACTGCTACCACCGCCGCCACCGGTGTTACATTGCAAAGCGTTATCGTCAACACTGCTACCACCGCCGCCACCGTTGTTACATTGCAAAGCGTCATCGTCAAAACTGCTATCACTGCCGCCATCGTTGTTACATTGCAAAACGTCATCAGCACTGCTACCACCGCCGCCATCAGTGTTACATGGCAAAGCGTCATCGTCAACACTGCTACCACAGCCGCCATCAGTGTTACATGGCAAAGCGTCATCGTCAACACTGCTACCACCGTATGAACTTAATATTGGTAGGCGGTCTTAGTCTGCTATGGCAAAGCATCAATGCACTATTCCGTATGTGTGCGAGAGCATAGCTCGTGACGGCGTGGGGAGGGTTTGCTTGTGTATGGCGTGTGTTTGTGTGTGTGTGTGTGTGTGCGGTGTGCGCTGTCGCGTGCCGCGTGCGCATGCGTGTGCGGGTCGCGTGTACGCGTGTACGCGTGTACGCGTTACGCGTGTACGCGTGTACGCTGTACGCGCGCGGCGCGCGGTGTGTGTTGTGTTGTTGTTTGTGCGTGTTGGTGTGTGTTGCCGTGCCGCGTCGTCGCGTGTGCTGTGTGCGTGTGCGTGTACGCGCGCTGCGCGTGTGTGTGTGTGTGTTGTGTAGTGTGTGTTGTGTGTGTGTGTGTGTATGTGGCGTGTGCGTCGTACGTGTGCGTGTAGCGTGTGTGTGTGTGATGTATCCCTGCGGTGTGCGGACGTGTGCGTGCACGTGTGCGTGTGCGTGTGCGTGTGCGTGTGCGTGTGCGTGTGCGTGTGCGTGTGCGTGTGCGTGTGCGTGAGCGTGCGCGCGCGTGTGTGCGTGTGCATGTGCGTGCGCGCGCGTGTGTGCATGTATATATTCCACTGTGCTAGCACTGAAGCCGACTATACTCACCGGCATGTTGTGACATGGAGGACTGCCGTGATAGACTGCTGATGCTTCCGACACGGGAACCCTGTCTTCTTATCAGTGCGTTAATGGTAACGACTACTAAAGCCACACCAGCTAGAGCACCTATTAGGCCGATCAGCATGAGGTACACAGATGAGTCGATGGATGTGCTATCATCTGTGAGTGTTTTAGCACTGCTCGGCGCCCCTACGTGTATCGTAAAAGCAATGCTAAGGATAAATAGTTGGTACACGTTGCGTATGTTAGACAAATAATACGTGTGCATATTGATATTATCAGGAGTAAGATAATATAGGATCTTACCTTATTATATTACCTTATTATATTACCTTCCTATATTATCTTACTCCTGATATTATGGCACTAAATACAACTAACTACAACACACAGAGGTGTGCGATACCAACATGTGGACACGCGCGCACGCACGCGTCTCTAGGTGTAAATTATCGAGTACATACATGATGTACATATGGCTGCGGACTCGTCTGATAGATCCCCGCAGTGATCATGGCCGTCACACAGCAAACTTACGCTGATGTAGCGATTAGTTTCCGTGCAACGAAACGTTTTTTCTTCTGCAATAGAATGAAGAAACGCGATCGTTTGTAGCAATAACTCAATTCATCTAGCTGGGTAATTCTATAGGTATAGCACATACATAAAATTGCGTAAAAATGCATTTATTTATTTATTTAGTTAGTTAGTTAGTTATTAATTTATTAATTTATTTAGTTACTTATTTATTCATTTATTTATTAGTTTATTTATAAATTATTTTTCTATCTATATATACCTCTGAACAGGGAGAACTCTGCGTACGTGATATCAAACGTGTCGACAACATTGAGCTTGGTGCGCAATCGCACGTAGAACATGTTGCTTGTAAAGCCCGATTCTGGAAGCTCAGCTATCTCTGACCGTCGGCCCGTTAGTTTTGTCAGCAGCGGTGCTTCGGAGTAGTTACCGCTGCGTACTTCCAGTAACGGTCTCTCCACGTCTAACGGAGATTTAATAATTACTATATTTCGCGGCAAATAAAACGCCCGGTGCGTTAGACGCACCCACGGTTCTAGAAGGTAATAATATGAAAAAATGTTTGACTGCATATGGGCTGCTGCACTAACATGTATATGTTGCAGCATAAACGTGGCTGCACTCTTTATTTTTTTTTAACGTTTATCTCTCAAATTACCCTGTATTTCATAAGCTGCATGCGAGTTCATCAGCATCAGTTAATATATAATGTACCCTACTCCGCTGATGTATATGAAATTATATTATCCAATATCATACGCTTTGCCATGTTTTTAAACATGTGCATGGATAACGATGCACCTAATTATGTTAACAATGCAGTTAATCACGCACCTCACCGTGTTAACAATACAGTTAACCATGGAGCTAAACATGTTAGCAATGCATTTAAGCGTGCTGGCGATACAGTTAGTCATGTTAACGATACAGTTAACTATGCATTCAACCATGTTAACAATACACTTAACCATGTTAACGATACAGTTAACTATGCATTCACCATTGTTCAATACCTTAACCATGTAACGATACTGAGTTCTAACTATGTATTCCAAAATGTTAAAGCGTACAGTTAACCATGTGTAATTTCAGTTAACCACGGTTAACCAGTGTAAATACACGTTTAAAACCAGTTTGTTAGAACAGAGCTAACAATAAAGCTGTCACCACGGTGTTAAAACGCGCGCGTTAGGCTATGACCAGTGGACTACCTGATAAAGTGATAGACAATGCATGGGGTTCATCGACATATATTGTCTAAATATAATGTGGCTTAGTTATTTAACGGAGTATTAGTCTTTAAAGTCTAGCGCATTCATTGCATTTAGACAATGAATGAAAGCTTAGTCACTAGGATCTGAGAATCACGTAGCAATCACCGTCTGGTCTTGCGACGAAAAAGAATCACTGATTTTGCAGTAAGAGAAATGGTGATGGTTTCCATCGTGTGAACTATCGACGGAGCAGTCGAAGTAGCCGACCTTTGCCCCACTACCGTCACCGCCGTCGTGCCAGATGTCCTCCCCACAGATTTAATTGAATCTTGACACACACCTGATGTGTAACAGTAGTTACCTGTTAGAGTGTTAAGCGATGCTGAGTTAGAACGATGTTAATAAAGAACGAGTTTCTGATAGGTGCACATCTGATAGTGCACAAGCTAATAAATACGGTGCCATAGAACAAGACCACAATACGCGGTTTAGCATGTTGGCAAAACTATAAAGTTCCGAGACCAAGCAAATAATTTCAAGAAACACATT